AGATTTGTTGTTAGAATAATCGATTAATCGAAAAAATAATCGTTAGATTAATCGATTAGAAAATAATCGTTTGGTACAGCACTAATGGAAGTAGACACTTTCTTCTTCAAACGTTTGTATATATTTACACACACGTTTGTTTTGATACATCCTAACATGAGTGTGGAACATGGCTTTATGCTGCCTTTGCTTTATAAACACACTATCAATACGAGTCCACTAGGATCATATAATTTTGAACACATGTTGTTTAGTTTAAATGATGTTTAATAACAATAACAACTCTGGTAACTGTTACAGTTGTTGTAGCTTGTGTGCAAGATTTATACACATTAATTTGATTTAAGTTGGGAAAGAGTTTGTGTTGATGTCTGTTTCTTAGTGCCACCTGTGTTTTCTTTTCTGTCCTCTAGAGGGCGCTGGACAACTACAGTGGCAAGGGAGCTGTGCCTCGAAGCCTGGCAAACCAAAGGGGAAAAAGAAATGTTCCTCTAGACAAAAATTTGATGTAGGTTTCATATTTGTCTCCCAAGAAGCTGTTTTTCCCCAGTGTATTAGTAAACAGTTTATATCATCCATTTATCTACACCATTATGTATTTTTAACAGTGGAATTGTGTGCTGAGTTGTTGACTCCGTGTCACTTTGTGTCTTCAGCATCGCTTCCAGCCTCAGAACCCTCTCAGTGCTGCGCAGTCGTTCAGCCCCCGAGAGGTGGCGGGTGAGGAAGAGGAGCTGCGCCTCAGTGCCCACACCCTGCTGCTGCCCACGCAGGGCCAGCTAGAAGCCCGCATGATGGTCACTGCCTTTGAGCTGGGTCTGGATAACGTCACTGAAGATGCTGTCAGCTCCATGAGCTATGCTGTGGAGGTCTGTGTTTTCATCTGTCATTATTCGTGGTTTAAATCACCGCTTTCTCAGTCTAATAATAGTTCTTTTATCTGCTCCTGAAACAAACGTTTTGTCTCAAAAGTTGAACTGCTGATATTCCACCAGCTCCATGTCTGCTGATAGTTATGGGTTTTGCTGTAAACGGGACAATAATGTTTAGGGCCTTAAGATTCCTACAATGTGAAAAATATTTTATACAGTGGTTTGCAAAAGTATTCATACCCCTTGAACTTTTCCATATTTTGTCACATTACAACCACAAACATAAATATATTTCACTGGAATTT